ATATTATTATTTTTATATATATTGTATTCTTATATATTGTATTATCATATATTGTATTTATATATATAGTATTATTATTTATATTGTATTATATTCATTGTATTATATTCATTGTATTATATATTTACGTAACCACGGCGACAGGCACCACCCCCCAATGCCCCCCACCCTCCGCGTCTACAGGTGGAGGGGCCTCGGATTCTATAGAGGGGGGAGGGGGGAGGGGTGACTGGGGGAGGGGGTGACTGGGGGAGGGGGTGAGGGGGTGAGTGGGGGAGGTGGGAGGGGGTGAGGGGGTGAGTGGCGGACGGGGTGAGTGGGTGACTGGGGGAGGTGGGAGGAGGTTAGTGGGGGAGGTGGGAGGGGGTGAGTGGGGGAGGTGGGAGGGGGTGACTGGGGGAGGTGGGAGGGGGTGAGGGGGTGAGGAGGGAAGGGGTGAGTGGGGTAGGGGGTGAGTGTAGGGGTGAGTGTAGGGGTGAGTGTAGGTGAGTGTAGGTGAGTGTAGGGGTGAGTGTAGGTGAGTGTAGAGGTGAGTGTAGGGGTGAGTGTAGGTGAGTGTAGAGGTGAGTGTAGAGGTGAGTGTATAGGTGATTGTAGGGGTGAGTGTAGGGGTGAGTGTAGAGGTGAGTGTAGGGGTGAGTGTAGAGGTGAGTGTAGGTGAGTGTAGGGGTGAGTGTAGGGGTGAGTGTAGAGGTGAGTGTAGGGGTGAGTGTAGGTGAGTGTAGAGGTGAGTGTAGAGGTGAGTGTATAGGTGATTGTAGGGGTGAGTGTAAGGGTGAGTGTAGAGGTGATTGTAGAGGTGAGTGTAAGGGTGAGTGTAGGGGTGAGTGTAGAGGTGAGTGTAAGGGTGAGTGTAGGGGTGAGTGTAGAGGTGAGTGTAGGTGAGTGTATAGGTGAGTGTAGGTGAGTGTAGGGGTGAGTGTAGAGGTGAGTGTAGGGGTGAGTGTAGGGGTGAGTGTAGGGGTGAGTGTAGAGGTGAGTGTAGAGGTGAGTGTAGGTGAGTGTAGGGGTGATTGTATGGGTGAGTGTAGGGGTGAGTGTAGGGGTGAGTGTAGAGGTGAGTGTAGAGGTGAGTGTAGGGGTGAGTGTAGGGGTGAGTGTAGAGGTGAGTGTAGGTGAGTGTAGGGGTGAGTGTAGGGGTGAGTGTAGGGGTGAGTGTAGAGGTGAGTGTAGGTGAGTGTAGAGGTGAGTGTAGGGGTGAGTGTAGGGGTGAGTGTAGGTGAGTGTATAGGTGAGTGTAGAGGTGAGTGTAGGGGTGAGTGTAGGGGTGAGTGTAGGGGTGAGTGTATAGGTGAGTGTAGAGGTGAGTGTAGAGGTCAGTGTAGAGGTGAGTGTAGGGGTGAGTGTAGAGGTGAGTGTATGGGTGAGTGTAGAGGTGAGTGTATGGGTGAGTGTAGGGGTGAGTGTAGGGGTGAGTGTATAGGTGAGTGTAGAGGTGAGTGTAGAGGTGAGTGTATGGGTGAGTGTAGAGGTGAGTGTATGGGTGAGTGTATAGGTGAGTGTAGGGGTGAGTGTAGAGGTGAGTGTATGGGTGAGTGTAGAGGTGAGTGTAGGTGAGTGTAGAGGTGAGTGTAGGGGTGAGTGTATGGGTGAGTGTAGGGGTGATTGTAGAGGTGAGTGTAGAGGTGAGTGTAGAGGTGAGTGTATGGGTGAGTGTAGGGGTGAGTGTATGGGTGAGTGTAGGGGTGAGTGTAGGGGTGAGTGTATAGGTGAGTGTAGAGGTGAGTGTAGAGGTGAGTGTAGAGGTGAGTATAGAGGTGAGTGTATGGGTGAGTGTAGGGGTGATTGTAGAGGTGAGTGTAGAGGTGAGTGTAGAGGTGAGTGTAGAGGTGAGTGTATGGGTGAGTGTAGGGGTGAGTGTAGAGGTGAGTGTAGGTGAGTGTAGAGGTGAGTGTAGAGGTGAGTGTAGGTGAGTGTATAGGTGAGTGTAGGTGAGTGTAGGGGTGAGTGTAGAGGTGAGTGTAGGTGAGTGTATAGGTGAGTGTAGGTGAGTGTAGGGGTGAGTGTAGAGGTGAGTGTAGAGGTGAGTGTAGAGGTGAGTCTCGAGGTGAGTGTAGAGGTGAGTGTAGAGGTGAGTCTCGAGGTGAGTGTAGAGGTGAGTGTAGAGGTGAGTGTAGAGGTGAGTGTAGAGGTGAGTGTAGAGGTGAGTCTCGAGGTGAGTGTAGAGGTGATTGTAGAGGTGAGTGTAGAGGTGAGTGTAGAGGTGAGTTTAGAGGTGAGTGTATAGGTGAGTGTAGAGGTGAGTGTAGAGGTGAGTGTAGAGGTGAGTGTAGAGGTGAGTGTAGAGGTGAGTCTCGAGGTGAGTGTAGAGGTGAGTCTCGAGGTGAGTGTAGAGGTGAGTCTCGAGGTGAGTGTAGAGGTGAGTGTAGAGGTGAGTGTAGAGGTGAGTCTCGAGGTGAGTGTAGAGGTGATTGTAGAGGTGAGTGTAGAGGTGAGTCTCGAGGTGAGTGTAGAGGTGAGTGTAGAGGTGAGTGTAGAGGTGATTGTAAAGGTGAGTGTAGAGGTGATTGTAGAGGTGAGTGTAGAGGTGAGTGTAGAGGTGATTGTAGAGGTGAGTGTAGGGGTGAGTGTATAGGTGAGTGTAGAGGTGAGTCTCGAGGTGAGTGTAGAGGTGAGTGTAGAGGTGAGTGTAGAGGTGAGTGTAGAGGTGAGTGTAGGTGATTGTAGAGGTGAGTGTAGAGGTGAGTGTAGAGGTGAGTGTAGAGGTGAGTGTAGGTGAGTGTAGAGGTGAGTGTAGAGGTGAGTGTAGAGGTGAGTGTAGAGGTGAGTGTATAGGTGAGTGTAGAGGTGAGTGTATAGGTGAGTGTAGAGGTGAGTGTATGGGTGAGTGTAGAGGTGAGTGTAGAGGTGAGTGTAGAGGTGAGTGTAGAGGTGAGTGTAGAGGTGAGTGTAGAGGTGAGTGTATGGGTGAGTGTAGGGGTGATTGTAGAGGTGAGTGTAGAGGTGAGTGTAGAGGTGAGTGTAGGGGTGAGTGTATGGGTGAGTGTAGGGGTGAGTGTAGAGGTGAGTGTAGGTGAGTGTAGAGGTGAGTGTAGAGGTGAGTGTAGAGGTGAGTGTAGAGGTGAGTGTAGGTGAGTGTATAGGTGAGTGTAGGTGAGTGTAGGGGTGAGTGTAGAGGTGAGTGTAGAGGTGAGTGTAGAGGTGAGTGTAGAGGTGAGTCTCGAGGTGAGTGTAGAGGTGAGTGTAGAGGTGAGTCTCGAGGTGAGTGTAGAGGTGAGTGTAGAGGTGAGTGTAGAGGTGAGTGTAGAGGTGAGTGTAGAGGTGAGTCTCGAGGTGAGTGTAGAGGTGAGTGTAGAGGTGAGTGTAGAGGTGAGTGTAGAGGTGAGTGTAGAGGTGAGTGTATAGGTGAGTGTAGAGGTGAGTGTAGAGGTGAGTCTCGAGGTGAGTGTAGAGGTGAGTCTCGAGGTGAGTGTAGAGGTGATTGTAGAGGTGAGTGTAGAGGTGAGTCTCGAGGTGAGTGTAGAGGTGAGTGTAGAGGTGAGTGTAGAGGTGATTGTAGAGGTGAGTGTAGGGGTGAGTGTATAGGTGAGTGTAGAGGTGAGTCTCGAGGTGAGTGTAGAGGTGAGTGTAGAGGTGAGTGTAGGGGTGAGTGTAGAGGTGAGTGTAGAGGTGAGTGTAGGGGTGAGTGTAGAGGTGAGTGTAGGTGATTGTAGAGGTGAGTGTAGAGGTGAGTGTAGAGGTGAGTGTAGGTGAGTGTATAGGTGAGTGTAGAGGTGAGTGTAGAGGTGAGTGTAGAGGTGAGTGTATAGGTGAGTGTAGAGGTGAGTGTATAGGTGAGTGTAGAGGTGAGTGTATGGGTGAGTGTAGAGGTGAGTGTAGAGGTGAGTGTAGAGGTGAGTGTAGAGGTGAGTGTATGGGTGAGTGTAGAGGTGAGTGTAGAGGTGAGTGTATAGGTGAGTGTAGAGGTGAGTGTAGAGGTGAGTGTATAGGTGAGTGTAGAGGTGAGTGTAGAGGTGAGTGTAGAGGTGAGTGTAGAGGTGAGTGTAGGGGTGAGTGTAGAGGTGATTGTAGAGGTGAGTGTAGGTGAGTGTAGAGGTGAGTGTAGAGGTGAGTGTAGAGGTGAGTGTAGGGTGAGTGTAGGGGTGAGTGTATAGGTGAGTGTAGAGGTGAGTGTAGAGGTGAGTGTATAGGTGAGTGTAGAGGTGAGCGTAGAGGTGAGCGTAGAGGTGAGCGTAGGGGTGAGTGTAGGGGTGAGTGTAGAGGTGAGTGTAGGGGTGAGTGTAGGGGTGAGTGTAGAGGTGAGTGTAGAGGTGAGTGTAGGTGAGTGTAGAGGTGAGTGTAGAGGTGAGTGTAGAGGTGAGTGTAGGGGTGAGTGTAGAGGTGAGTGTAGAGGTGAGTGTAGAGGTGAGTGTAGAGGTGAGTGTAGGGGTGAGTGTAGAGGTGAGTGTAGAGGTGAGTGTAGGGGTGAGTGTAGGGGTGAGTGTAGAGGTGATTGTAGAGGTGAGTGTAAGGGTGAGTGTAGAGGTGAGTGTAGAGGTGAGTGTAAGGGTGAGTGTAGGGGTGAGTGTAGAGGTGAGTGTAGAGGTGAGTGTAGAGGTGATTGTAAAGGTGAGTGTAGAGGTGATTGTAGAGGTGAGTGTAGAGGTGAGTCTCGAGGTGAGTGTAGAGGTGAGTGTAGAGGTGAGTGTAGAGGTGATTGTAGAGGTGAGTGTAGGGGTGAGTGTATAGGTGAGTGTAGAGGTGAGTCTCGAGGTGAGTGTAGAGGTGAGTGTAGAGGTGAGTGTAGAGGTGAGTGTAGAGGTGAGTGTAGGTGATTGTAGAGGTGAGTGTAGAGGTGAGTGTAGAGGTGAGTGTAGAGGTGAGTGTAGGTGAGTGTAGAGGTGAGTGTAGAGGTGAGTGTAGAGGTGAGTGTAGAGGTGAGTGTATAGGTGAGTGTAGAGGTGAGTGTATAGGTGAGTGTAGAGGTGAGTGTATGGGTGAGTGTAGAGGTGAGTGTAGAGGTGAGTGTAGAGGTGAGTGTAGAGGTGAGTGTAGAGGTGAGTGTAGAGGTGAGTGTATGGGTGAGTGTAGGGGTGATTGTAGAGGTGAGTGTAGAGGTGAGTGTAGAGGTGAGTGTAGGGGTGAGTGTATGGGTGAGTGTAGGGGTGAGTGTAGAGGTGAGTGTGGGTGAGTGTAGAGGTGAGTGTAGAGGTGAGTGTAGAGGTGAGTGTAGAGGTGAGTGTAGGTGAGTGTATAGGTGAGTGTAGGTGAGTGTAGGGGTGAGTGTAGAGGTGAGTGTAGAGGTGAGTGTAGAGGTGAGTGTAGAGGTGAGTCTCGAGGTGAGTGTAGAGGTGAGTGTAGAGGTGAGTCTCGAGGTGAGTGTAGAGGTGATTGTAGAGGTGAGTGTAGAGGTGAGTGTAGAGGTGAGTGTAGAGGTGAGTGTAGAGGTGAGTCTCGAGGTGAGTGTAGAGGTGAGTGTAGAGGTGAGTGTAGAGGTGAGTGTAGAGGTGAGTGTAGAGGTGAGTGTATAGGTGAGTGTAGAGGTGAGTGTAGAGGTGAGTCTCGAGGTGAGTGTAGAGGTGAGTCTCGAGGTGAGTGTAGAGGTGATTGTAGAGGTGAGTGTAGAGGTGAGTCTCGAGGTGAGTGTAGAGGTGAGTGTAGAGGTGAGTGTAGAGGTGATTGTAGAGGTGAGTGTAGGGGTGAGTGTATAGGTGAGTGTAGAGGTGAGTCTCGAGGTGAGTGTAGAGGTGAGTGTAGAGGTGAGTGTAGGGGTGAGTGTAGAGGTGAGTGTAGAGGTGAGTGTAGGGGTGAGTGTAGAGGTGAGTGTAGGTGATTGTAGAGGTGAGTGTAGAGGTGAGTGTAGAGGTGAGTGTAGGTGAGTGTATAGGTGAGTGTAGAGGTGAGTGTAGAGGTGAGTGTAGAGGTGAGTGTATAGGTGAGTGTAGAGGTGAGTGTATAGGTGAGTGTAGAGGTGAGTGTATGGGTGAGTGTAGAGGTGAGTGTAGAGGTGAGTGTAGAGGTGAGTGTAGAGGTGAGTGTAGAGGTGAGTGTATAGGTGAGTGTAGAGGTGAGTGTAGAGGTGAGTGTATAGGTGAGTGTAGAGGTGAGTGTAGAGGTGAGTGTATAGGTGAGTGTAGAGGTGAGTGTAGAGGTGAGTGTAGAGGTGAGTGTAGAGGTGAGTGTAGGGGTGAGTGTAGAGGTGATTGTAGAGGTGAGTGTAGGTGAGTGTAGAGGTGAGTGTAGAGGTGAGTGTAGAGGTGAGTGTAGAGGTGAGTGTAGGGGTGAGTGTATAGGTGAGTGTAGAGGTGAGTGTAGAGGTGAGTGTATAGGTGAGTGTAGAGGTGAGCGTAGAGGTGAGCATAGAGGTGAGCGTAGGGGTGAGTGTAGGGGTGAGTGTAGAGGTGAGTGTAGGGGTGAGTGTAGGGGTGAGTGTAGAGGTGAGTGTAGAGGTGAGTGTAGGTGAGTGTAGAGGTGAGTGTAGAGGTGAGTGTAGAGGTGAGTGTAGGGGTGAGTGTAGAGGTGAGTGTAGAGGTGAGTGTAGAGGTGAGTGTAGAGGTGAGTGTAGGGGTGAGTGTAGAGGTGAGTGTAGAGGTGAGTGTAGGGGTGAGTGTAGGGGTGAGTGTAGAGGTGATTGTAGAGGTGAGTGTAAGGGTGAGTGTAGAGGTGAGTGTAGAGGTGAGTGTAAGGGTGAGTGTAGGGGTGAGTGTAGGGGTGAGTGTAGGTGAGTGTAGAGGTGAGTATAGGGGTGAGTGTAGGGGTGAGTGTAAGGATGAGTGTAGGGGTGAGTGTAGTGGTGAGTGTAAGGATGAGTGTAGGGGTGAGTGTAGGGGTGAGTTGAGTACAGAGGTGTGTGGGGAGTGGTGGCGCAGCAGTTAGTGCGCTGCGTGACAAACCCAGAGACCCGAGGTCGATTCAAGGTCACCACCACCTCCACCACCACCACCTACACCACCACCTCCACCACCACCTCCACCACCTCCACCACCACCTCCACCACCACCACCACCTCCACCACCACCTCCACCACCACCACCTCCACCACCTCCACCACCACCTCCACCACCACCACCAGTGATAAGTCGACTCAGCCTTTCACATGAGTACGTGGTGAGGGCGGTGCGTGTGAAACATCAAGCAATGGGGAAGACAAAGGCGGACGGGCGTGCGTGGTGCTGGCCTATCCACCACCCCTTATATCGTCCCGGCCTTCATAGGCTGCTGCTGCTGCTCGCTACTCACAGCACTTGCCCCCTTACGGCCCGTGAGAGAGGCTACACGGGGGAGCTTTGTTCGTGTCAGTGCGGACGTCTTCAGTACTCGGGGCAGTCGCCGAGACGAGCAACCACGAACTTCCACTGCCGGTCCCTGCGGGAGAACGGCGACCACCGTTATCCCCTCCACACTTAGGGGGTCCTCCCCTCCACACTTAGGGGGTACCCTTCACACTTAGGGGGTACCCTTCACACTTAGGGGGTCCTCCCCTCCACACTTAGGGGGTACCCTTCACACTTAGGAGGTCCTCCCCTCCACACTTAGGGGGCCCTCCCCTCCACACTTAGGGGTACCCTTCACACTTAGGGGGCCCTCCCCTCCACACTTAGGGGGTCCTCCCCTCCACACTTAGGGGGTACCCTTCACACTTAGGAGGTCCTCCCCTCCACACTTAGGGGGTCCTCCCCTCCACACTTAGGGGGTACCCTTCACACTTAGGAGGTCCTCCCCTTAACAGGGGTACCCTTCATACACGGGTACACACACGCGTGTGTACACACTCACGTGTACGCACATACACACACACATACACACACATACATACACACACACATACACACACATACACACACACATACATACACACACACATACACACACACATACACACACATATACACACACATACATACACACACATACACACATACAACAACACAACAACCGCCATTCGCCACTAAGTGGCGGTGACGTCACCACGACGCTTGTGCCAGGCCATGTGCACCTTGAGGCCACGTGAAGTGTCGAACGCCCGCTGGCAGGAGGTCACGAGGCAGACCCAGGTGCCACGGGTCGACTGACCGAGATGACCGAGATGACTGGCTGATGCACCACCTGTGCCCCCTACTGTACCAACTTGCTGTGCTTTAGCCACCCGGCGCTCCGCTCGTTGTTGTGAGCGTCGCTCCTCCGCCCTCCGTTGTTGTTGGAGGGCGACTGCCTCCAACTGCCCAGTAGCGTCCTTCACGAGCCTCCTCCACTGAGGCCGATCTTGACACCGCTGGTACCAGTCATCGGCAAGTCCACTCAGCTCCACGTCCTCCTGTACCACATCACTCCATCTCTTCTCTAGCCCGTGCCGCGCCCGTTTAGCCCCCTCGATCCGGCCGAACAAAAGCTGTTTAGGCATGCGGTGGCTGGGCATGCGGGCTACATGACCCAGCCAACGCAGCCTTGCCTGCCGGAGGAGCTCATCGATGGGACTTTGCCCAGATCTTTCAAGGATATGTGAGCTCCTCACACAATCCAGCCTGGTTAAACGCAGGATGGATCGTAGGCAGGCCAGTCTAAATGTTTCTAACCGGCGAAGATGCTCCATTAGGAGGGTCCACGTTTCGCAAGCGTAGAGAAGGGAGGGCATGACTGTGGCCGAGAAGACCTGAAGCTTCGTGTGGAGCGACAGACCAGGTAACTTCCACACAGCGTTACGCAACCGATGAAAAGATATTGCTGCTCGATTGATTCGGAGTGAGACCTCTGCTGTTAAACTGGAGCCGGTCATAAGCACACTGCCCAGGTATGGGAAACCCTCCACTCTCTCCACAACTGCCCCATCACCGATTTGGAGTTGTGGGGGTGGAGTGTCCGATGGTTCAAAATACCCAGGCAGGTACAGTGAGGGAAAAAAGTATTTGATCCCTTGCTGATTTTGTAGGTTTGCCCACTGACAAAGAAATGATCAGTTTATAATTTTAATGGTAGGTTTATTTGAACAGTGAGAGACAAAATAACAACAACAAAATCTAGAAAAACGCATGGCAAAAGTGTTAAAAATTGATTTGCATTTTAATGAGGGAAATAAGTATTTGACCCCCTCTCAATGAGGAAGATTTCTGGCTCCCAGGTGTCTTTTATACAGGTAACGAGCTGAGATTAGGAGCACACTCTTAAAGGGAGTGCTCCTAATCTCAGCTTGTTACCTGTATAAAAGACACCTGTTGACAGAAGCAATCAATCAATCAGATTCCAAACTCTCAACCATGGCCAAGACCAAAGAGCTCTCCAAGGATGTCAGGGACAAGATTGTAGACCTACACAAGGCTGAAATGGGCTACAAGACCATCGCCAAGCAGCTTGTTGAGAAGGTGACAACAGTTGGTGCGATCTCCCTTGGCCTGGGGCTCCATGCAAGATCTCACCTCGTGGAGTTGCAATGATCATGAGAACGGTGAGGAATCAGCCCAGAACTACACGGGAGGATCTTTTCAATGATCTCAAGGCAGCTGGGACCATAGTCACCAAGAAAACAGTTGGTAACACACTACGCCGTGAAGGACTGAAATCCTGCAGCGCCCGCAAGGTGCCCCTGCCCAAGAAAGCACATATACATGCCCGTCTGAAGTTTGCCAATGAACATTTCAATGATTCAGAGGACAACTGGGTGAAAGTGTTGTGGTCAGATGAGATCAAAATGGAGCTCTTTGGCATCAACTCCACTCCGCGTGTTTGGAGGAGGAATGCTACCTATGACCCTAAGAACACCATCCCCACCGACAAACATGGAGGTGGAAACATTATGCTTTGGGGGTATTTTTCTGCTAAGGGGACAGGACAACTTCACCGCATCAAAGGGACGATGGACGAGGCCATGTACCGTCAAATCTTGGGTGAGAAATTCCTTCCCTCAGCCAGGGCATTGAAAATGGGTCGTGGATGGGTATTCCAGCATGACAATGACCCAAAACACGGCCAAGGCAACAAAGGAGTGGCTCAAGAAGAAGCACATTAAGGTCCTGGAGTGGCCTAGCCAGTCTCCAGACCTTAATTCCATAGAAAATCTGTGGAGGGAGCTGAAGGGTCGAGTTGCCAAACGTCAGCCTCGAAACCTTAATGACTTGGAAAAGATCTGCAAAGAGGAGTGGGACAAAATCCCTCCTGAGATGTGTGCAAACCTGGTGGCCAACTACAAGAAACGTCTGACCTCTGTGATTGCCAACAAGGATTTTGCCACCACGTACTAAGTCATGTTTTGCAGAGGGGTCAAATATTTATTTCCCTCATTAAAATGCAAATCAATTTATAACATTTTTGACATGTGTTTTTCTGGATTTTGTTGTTGTTATTCTGTCTCTCACTGTTCAAATAAACCTACCACTAAAATTATAGACTGATCATTTCTTTGTCAGTGGGCAAACGTACAAAATCAGCATGGGATCAAATACTTTTTTCCCTCAATGTACTTGGTATTGGTGGGGCTGATGGTAAGGCCCCACCTCTTAGTGGCACGCTCCAGTTTCAGCAGCAGCGTCACGAACTCCTCCTCTGAATGAGCAGCTATTACCAAACCAACGGCATACATAATGTGGTTGACCAATAGGGAGCCGTCCCTTGACCGCACCCGGGCATCGATCAGCCTCCCATTATATCTGTACCAAATGGAAATTCCCCCGGTACAGCTATTGAAGGCTTCACGAACTACGTGGTCAAAATAGATGTTAAATAATGTGGGAGCCAGAGGACATCCCTGTCGCACCCCAAGGTGTACAGGGAATGGCTCTGACTCCTGGCCATGTAGTTTTACCCGGGCCCGCTCACCGTCATGAAGGTCCTTAATGATCGTGAGCAGAGGGTCAGGGACTCCGAAAGCACGAAGAACAACCCAGAGCCCAGGCCTACTGATGGTATCATAAGCCTTGACCAGGTAAATAAAGCAGAGATGTAGATCTTGTTGGAATTCCAGACACCTCTGCTGTAGCAGACGGACAGAAAATATGCCATCTGTGCAGGACCGCCCTTTCCTGAAACCGCATTCGGGCTCCGCAAGCCTCTCCTCAGCGTGCCTAGCAAGGCGATGTTGAATAATCCTTGCCAGGACCTCTCCCGGCCCACTGAGGAGTGAGAGGCCCCTTTAGTTGTTACAGTCTGTGCAGTCCCCCTTCTTAAAGAGGGGGACCACCAGGGCATCCTTCCAATCCTGCGGAACCCGTCCAGTGGTCCAGACTGTTGTAATGATGTCATATAGGGCAGTCTGTGCACAAACGCCACCCTCCCTCAACATTTCGCTTGGGAGATCATCTCTGCCCGGTGCCTTTCCTCGTCTCAGACTCCAGATCACCTTCAGTACTTCCTCAACAGATGGCACCTCAGCTAGCCACTCACAGGGGGTGACTTCTTCCAATATTTGAGGCACCGCAGCCTCAGCAGGATATCCCCACTTTGTGCCATGATGTTTTCCTGGCTGAGGGATTTCCCCTCCCCCAGGACCTCACAGAAATGCTCAGCAAATCTGCAAACCTGTTCCTGGGGGTCAGAGATTGGATCACCGTTTATTCCCCTAATGATGGTAATAGGTGTGGCGCTGCAGGTCACTTTTTTGATGGAGTTAAATAAGGATTTGTGATCGCGGGCCACTGAGGCAGACTCCATCTCCTCAGCAACCCGCGACCACCACCCATCCTTGCAGCGCCTCACGGCTCTCCGAACCTCCGAGCGAAGGCTGCGGTAAGCCTCCTCATTCTCTGACGTGGGATGCTATAGCCGATGAGAGTGGGCCTGTCGCTTTTTCTCAACTTTCGTGAACACCTCCCCTGTCAGCCAGGGTCTCTGGGGAGGTCTGGACCGCGTACCCAAAGCAGCCATTGCAGCTGCATGAGTCACAGTCCTAAACCTCGCCCATTTACCCTCGACATCAGGAGGAGTGGGGGACGATGCCAACCCCAGCCGCAAGCGATGATGAAATTCTTGCTTGCAACTTTCATCAGCTAACTGAGACCAGGCCACTTTAGGTTGGAATGGGGTCCTGGGTGTACACCCACCACCGGAGTGGAAGAATGGCAGGCGCATCTTACAGATGACAAGTCGATGGTTATAAGGCAGATCAGCTCCACGGTAGGTCCTGGTGTCAAGGACATGGGCTCGCATCTGCTGGTCCGTCACTTTGTAGTCCAGCAGATGTTCTTGCTTGGACCCGGCATGCATCCATGATGTTGTGTGGATGCGCTGATGCCGGAACAGCGTGTTGGTAATTACAATCCCATGGGCTGCACAAAAATCTAGCAGCCTCCTACCGTTGTTATTGAGCTGATCTGGCCCATGCCCTCCAATCACTCCAGACCAGGTGCCAGCATCATGACCAAGTCGGGCATTGAAGTCACCCAACAAGATGACTCTATCCCGAGGGGCCAATTTAGCCAGCACCTGTGACAGGAGGTCATAGAAGGCATCTGACTAATCGGCTTTGCCTGCATCCCTCCACGGATGTTCGTCTTCAGTGTGGTCCTAAGTAACCACAACCACCACTCCTCGCCTCCGGTTGATGGGAAGGCGAGCCGAAAGTAGCCTGGGGCTTACAGCTTCCCACACCTCACCGCCACACTCCCACGCCCCCTTCATTCTTTTGTTCAGAAGAAGAGCCACACCCTGTTGTTTGGCAGTCTCCTGCCCCGAGTCGAGGACTGTCCACCCCTCATGGTGGCAGGAGCCAGAACCGGTTCACCGGACCTCCTGAATGCCACAGAGATCCAGGCGGTACCGGTCCAGCTCCCGACAAAGGAGTGGCAGCCTCTCCTCCGCAGTGAGCGTTCGAACATTCCACGTGGCCACACGAAGTTTCCCGTCCGACACCGCGAGGAGGTAGGGGGTTGTTTTTGCCGGATGTGTACACTCACATATACACACACACACACACGTGTACACACTCACACACACGCGGACACTCACATGTACACACACACGTGTACACTCATATGTACACACACGTACACGTGTACACACACACACGTGTACACACTCTCACACGTGTACACACTTACACGTGTACACACAAGTGTACACACACACGTGTACACACACGTGTACATACTCTCACACGCTTGCGTGCACTCTGACCTCTCGACGGGGCTGAAGGTGGTGGCCGCACCGCGGATGTAAAACTCCGGCAGGAGGGAAAACCTCAACTCCTGGCCCGGGTAGTCGGGGACGTCCTGAGTCATCCTGGGGGGTGGGCACGGGGGGGGGGATGCAAGGACACGTGGGGTTGTGGTGGGTGACGCGCATGGTCCTGAGTCAGCCTGAGGAGACCCGTGGGGGTGTGGGGGGTGGCTGGGCCACAGAGGTGGGGGGGGGAGGGGCTACACGGTGGGACGGGGGGGCTACACGGTGGGGGGGGGGGCTACACGGGGTCCCGAGTCACCTTGAGACGAGAGGTCACCGACACGAAGGGAGGGGAATGTGGGGGAGTCCCCCCCACCCCCTCACCGCCCTGGCCACTACACAGCAGCACATCCAGGTAGCCTGCAGCTACACACAGCTACAGCTACACACACAGCTACACACACACAGCTACACACACACACAGCTACACACACAGCTACACACAGCTACACAAACAGCTACACACAGCTACACACAACTACACACAACTACACACACACACAGCTACAGCTACACACAGCTACAGCTACACACAGCTACACACACAGCTACAGCTACACACGCAGCTACAGCTACACACACAGCTACACACACAGCTACACACACACAGCTACACACACAGCTACAGCTACACACACTGCTACAGCTACACACACAGCTACACACACAGCTACAGCTACACACACAGCTACACACAGCTACACACACAGCTACAGCTACACACACACAGCTACACACACAGCTACACACACAGCTACAGCTACACACACAGCTACACACACAGCTACAGCTACACACACAGCTACACACACAGCTACAGCTACACACAACTACACATAGCTACACACACAGCTACACACACAGCTACAGCTACACACAGCTACAGCTACACACACACAGCTACACACAGCTACACAAACAGCTACAGCTACACACACCGCTACACACACAGCTACAGCTACACACACAGCTACACAAACAGCTACACACAGCTACACACACACAGCTACACACAGCTACAGCTACACACACAGCTACACACACAGCTACAGCTACACACACAGCTACACAAACAGCTACACACAGCTACACACACAGCTACAGCTACACACACACAGCTACACACACAGCTACACACACAGCTACAGCTACACACACAGCTACACACACAGCTACAGCTATACACAACTACACATAACTACACACACAGCTACAGCTACACACACAGCTACACACACAGCTACAGCTATACACAACTACACATAGCTACACACACAGCTACAGCTACACACACAGCTACACACACAGCTACAGCTACACACACACAGCTACACACACAGCTACAGCTACACACACAGCTAGACACACAGCTACAGCTACACACACAGCTACACACACAGCTACAGCTATACACAACTACACATAGCTACACACACAGCTACACACACAGCTACAGCTACACACACAGCTACACACACAGCTACAGCTACACACACAGCTACACACACAGCTACAGCTACACACACAGCTACACACACAGCTACACACACAGCTACACACAGCTACACACACACAGCTACACACAGCTACAGCTACACACACAGCTACACACACAGCTACAGCTACACACACAGCTACACAAACAGCTACACACAGCTACACACACAGCTACAGCTACACACACACAGCTACACACACAGCTACACACACAGCTACAGCTACACACACAGCTACACACACAGCTACAGCTATACACAACTACACATAACTACACACACAGCTACAGCTACACACACAGCTACACACACAGCTACAGCTATACACAACTACACATAGCTACACACACAGCTACAGCTACACACACAGCTACACACACAGCTACAGCTACACACACACAGCTACACACACAGCTACAGCTACACACACAGCTAGACACACAGCTACAGCTACACACACAGCTACACACACAGCTACAGCTATACACAACTACACATAGCTACACACACAGCTACACACACAGCTACAGCTACACACACAGCTACACACACAGCTACAGCTACACACAGCCAGCTACACACACAGCTACAGCTACACACACAGCTACACACACAGCTACACACAGCTACACACACAGCTACAGCTACACACACAGCTACAGCTACACACACAGCTACACAAACAGCTACAGCTACACACACAGCTACACACACCGCTACACACAACTACACACAGCTACACACACAGCTACACACACAGCTACACACAGCTACACACACAGCTACACACAGCTACACACACAGCTACACACACAGCTACAGCTACACACACAGCTACACACACAGCTACACACACAACTACAGCTACACACACAGCTACACACACAGCTACAGCTACACACAGCTACACACAACTACACATAGCTACACACACAGCTACAGCTACACACAAACACAGCTACAGCTACACACACAGCTACAGCTACACACACAGCTACAGCTACACAGCTACACACACAGCTACAGCTACACATAGCTACAGCTACACACACAGCTACACACACAGCTACAGCTACACACAGCTACAGCTACACACAGCTACACACACAGCTACAGCTACACACGCAGCTACAGCTACACACACAGCTACACACACAGCTACAGCTACACACACAGCTACAGCTACACACAGCTACAGCTACACACAGCTACACACACAGCTACAGCTACACACAGCTACACACAGGTGCACACAGCTACACACAGGTACACACAGCTACACACAGCTACAGCTACACACTGCTACACACAGCTACACACAGCTTACACACAGCTACAGCTACACACAGCTACACACAGCTACACACACAGCTACACACAGCTTATACACAGCTACACACAGCTACACACAGCTACAGCTACACACAGCTACACACAGCTACAGCTACACACAGCTTACACACAGCTACAGCTACACACAGCTACACACAGCTACAGCTACACACACAGCTACAGCTACACAGCTACACACACAGCTACACACACAGCTACACACACAGCTACACACACAGCTACAGCTACACACAGCTACACACACAGCTACAGCTACACACACAGCTACACACAGCTACAGCTACACACACTGCTACAGCTACACACACAGCTACACACACAGCTACAGCTACACACAGCTACACACACAACTACACACAGCTACAGCTACACACACACAGCTACACACAGCTACACACAGCTACAGCTACACACAGCTACACACACACAGCTACACACACAGCTACACACACAGCTACATCTACACACAGCTACACACAGCTACACACAACTACACACACACAGCTACACACACAGCTACAGCTACACACACAGCTACAGCTACACACAGCTACACAAACAGCTACAGCTACACACACAGCTACAGCTACACACACAGCTACACAGCTACAGCTACACACAGCTACACACACAGCTACAGCTACACACAACTACACATAGCTACACACACAGCTACAGCTACACACACAGCTACAGCTACACACACAGCTACACACACAGCTACACACAGCTACACACACAGCTACAGCTACACACACAGCTACACACACAGCTACAGCTACACACACAGCTACACACACCGCTACACACACAGCTACACACAACTACACACAGCTACACACACAGCTACACACACAGCCACACACAGCTACACACAGCTACACACAGCTACACACACAGCTACAGCTACACACACAGCTACACACACACAGCTACACACACAGCTACACACACAGCTACAGCTACACACACAGCTACACACACAGCTACACACACAGCTACAGCTACACACACAGCTACACACAGCTACACACAGCTACACACAACTACACATAGCTACACACACAGCTACACACACAGCTACAGCTACACACACAGCTACACACACAGCTACACACACAGCTACAGCTACACACACAGCTACAGCTACACAGCTACACACACAGCTACAGCTACACATAGCTACAGCTACACACAGCTACACACACAGCTACAGCTACACACACAGCTACAGCTACACACACAGCTACACACAGCCACACACAGCTATACACCGCTACAGCTATACACCGCTACAGCTACACACACAGCTACAGCTACACACAGCTACAGCTACACACACAGCTACAGCTACACACACAGCTACACACATAGCTACAGCTACACACACAGCTACACACACAGCTACAGCTACACACAGCTACACACAGCTACACACACAGCTACAGCTACACACAGCTACAGCTACACACAGCTTACACACAGCTACACACCGCTACAGCTACACACAGATACACACAGGTACACACAGCTACACACAGGTACACACAGCTACACACAGCTACAGCTACACACTGCTACACACAGCTACACACAGCTACACACAGCTACAGCTACACACAGCTACACACACAGCTACAGCTACACACAGCTTACACACAGCTACACACCGCTACAGCTACACACAGCTACACACAGGTACACACAGCTACACACAGGTACACACAGCTACACACAGCTACAGCTACACACAGCTACACACAGCTACAGCTACACACACAGCTACACACACAGCTACAGCTACACACAGCTACACACAGCCAGACACAGCTACACACACAGCTACACACACAGCTACAGCTACACACACAGCTAAACACACAGCTACAGCTACACACACAGCTACACACACCGCTACACACACAGCTACACACAACTACACACACAGCTACACACACAGCCACACACAGCTACACACAGCTACACACAGCTACACACACAGCTACAGCTACACACAGCTACACACAGCCAGACACAGCTATACACCGCTACAGCTACACACACAGCTACACACAGCAGCTACCTGCTGGTTCAAATAAAATAATCACAACAGGAAGCGACGTTTCGATGGCAAAGCAAGCGGCCGTCTTCAGGAAAAGACGACCGCTTGCCATCGAAGCGTCGTAGTTTTTTGTTATTTTTTTACTATTTTCTTTGAAGCCATCTACGTGACTTTCCCGAAATACCCAAGAATGTGAATTCCTGCAGTCACGAAAGCTTTAAGTCAATTCTATTTAATTAACGTGTTGTTTATATTTATTTAAAGTTGCGCATTTTGACGTGACCTCACATTTCTCAAACCTCCCCCCCTCGTCACACATCGTCACAAATGTCTGACCCCCCCTCCCCCCCCCCCCAGGTGCGTGACGTCATTTATGGACGGCCCCTAAAGGGGGGGCACCGAGGGGTTTTTCGGGGCTCGTTTTGGGGATCAACTGAAGAGAACTTTGCTCTTCGTGACGCTGGGCACCATGGGCCAGGCAGCTTGGTGTGGGCCAGAGCCGTTCGCTAGCCAAGTCACACGCACGTCGTGAACAGTCGAGGACGGCATAGCCACACTTAGCAATAGAATACAGTGATCAGTGAGTTGTTTATTAAACGCGTTGCCTCCGCTAAATCGCGTGTGCGCCTCAGTAATGACACACGACACTCGGGTAACTTAGATCACTCTACTATGAGATTTCTTTTACCAGTGGCAAAATATAGTAGTAGGTTTTTACCCTTTTAAACTGGTACAAAACTGACACCTTTATTCAAGGCATCATGTTTGCAATAACCACAACACAAGTAGTCAAAAAAGCTAACAAAAAGAAGCAACTCTGATAATGATAATAATATGCACTGTCCTTGAAGTTGATTGGTCCACACCCGAGACGGCTTTCTTTAGAGCCTAGTCCCCATTGGTGTTGGACCAGATGATACCAGAAGGCGTACAACTCAAACACAGTGCAATATCAGAGTATTGAGAGCTCGGGTTAAGCATTTACACTATGAGATCTCTTTTACCAGTGGCAATATATAGTCGTAGGTTTTTACCCTTTTAAACTGGTACAAAACTGACACCTTTATTCAAGGAGACAACGTAACTCTCAGCCTTCCAAGACGAGCGGGTGCCCACTCCAGGACGATGGACACGACGGCCACGGCAGCCCAGAGCCCCGGTTCGCCCCGGCTCTTATCCCCCTCACGACCCGGCCACGCCCCGATTCCCCAACCCTCTCTCACCGTACCTGGCCCTGTCTGTCTCTGCCCTTGTTACAATTCACGACCGTTAGGCCACGTGTTTGTCCTCACGCGACCCTGTCAAAGCTTGTCGCATCAATCATCGTTAGCGAACACTTAGGTCCCACGTTACCCTCACGTGACCCCTTCTGTTGCTGTTACGTTAATTAGTAACCATGGCCACGGGGAGCCGTACTGCCCCGACATCACCCCGTACTGTCCTTACACATGGTGTGTGTGTACACGGTGTGAGTGAGTACACGGTGTGTGTGAGTACACGGTGTGAGTGAGTACATGGTGTGTGTGAGTACACGGTGTGAGTGAGTACACGGTGTGTGTGAGTACACGGTGTGTGTGTGTGTACACGGTGTGGGTGTACACGGTGTGTGTGAGTACACGGTGTGTGTGTACACGGTGTGAGTGAGTACACGGTGTGTGTGTGTACACGGTGTGTGTGAGTACACGGTGTGTGTGTGTACACGATGTGAGTGAGTACACGGTGTGTGTATGTACACGGTGTGAGTGAGTACGCGGTGTGAGTGAGTACACGGTGTGGGTGAGTGAGTGTGTACACGGTGTGGTGAGTGTGTACACGGTGTGGTGAGTGTGTACACGGTGTGTGTCTGTGTACACGGTGTGGTGAGTGTGTACACGCACCAGCTGCCGTAGGGACATTGCTTGAGGAATCGGCAGCAGTAGAACTGCCACTCACGGTCCAACACCGCCTCAAAGTAGTTGCTCTGCACTCCGGCCACCACGGCTCCGTCCGAGCACAGCTGGTACCTGCGACTCGCCACACACGCGGGGCGCGCCGGGTTCGCCGATGAGACCCCGACGGTAGAAACCGGTCCTCGACGGCAGCTCGGCAGCTCCTCGGGGTTGGATCGAGCCAAGTCTCTGCCTCTGCTGCCGATCCTACCCCGAATGTTGAAGCCTGTCCAAAGTTTGCTGAAGTGGTACTCCTGATGAGAGGCTGAATGTTGAAACCGGTCGTCACCCCCAGACTGGGCAGTTCACAAAGATTAGCCCCGTGCCTAACCGTAGCACATTTGGCTACGGTAGGCTGCAAAAGGAGTTCAACATAAATACATACTGGATGGGTTCAAGCAGAGCCTGGCTGTACTGCTGATGAGACCCGGAAGGTAGAAACCGGTCCTAGCCCCCCTCCCCCCTTTACCATCCCTGCCCCCCCTTCCCCCCCCTTCACCAGCCCTGCCCCCCCCCCCTTCACCAGCCCTCCCCCTCTTTACCACCCCTGCCCCCCCCTTCACCAGCCCTGCCCTCCCCTCACCAGGGTAGCCCTGCCCGGTTGTACTCCTCCCAGAAGCACTCCCCCATGACCATGGCTGGGCTCTCCACCCGGCACTGGAAGCCCCAGAGGCGGTCCACATGGTCCCGGTGTGCGCTGTGCTCGCTACGCAGCTCGCTCAGCACCTGCGGGGTCCAGGGGATCCAGAGGTCAGTGGGGCCAGGGGTCAGTGGGGCCAGGGAGTCAGTGGGGCCAGGGTGGGAGATGTGTGTAAGTGTGAGATGTTCATCAGTGAAAAATGTCCGTGAGTGCGAGCTGTTTGTTAAATGTTCATAAGTGCGGGACGTTTGTAAGTGCGAGAAGTTCATAAGTGAGACATGTTCGTAAGTGTGAGATGTTAGTGAGTGGGAGATGTTCATAAGTGCAGGAAATTCGTACGTGCAGGACATTCATAAGTACATGACGTTTGTAAGTTCAAGTCGTTCATGAGTGTGAGCTGTTTGTATATGGGAGATGTTCGTGAGTGCGAGATGTTCGTGAGTGGGAAACGTTCTTAAGTCGGAGACATTTGTAAGTGCGGAACGTTCGTAAGTGGGAGATGTTCCTAATTGTGAGATGTTCGTAACTGCGAGATGTTCATAAGTAGGAGAAGTTTGTAAGCGCAGGGCGTTCGTAAGTGAGAGATGTTCATAAGTGGGACATGTTCGTAAGTGGGAGACGTTCGCAGTGGGAGATGTTCATGAGTGGGGAAGTTTGTAAGTGTGAGATGTTCATATGTGCGAGACGTTCGTAAGTGCATGGCGTTCGTAAGTGTGAGACGTTCATACGTGCAGGACATTCATAATTGCGGGACATTCATAAGAGCATGATGTTCGTAAGTTCAAGATATTCATGAGTGCGACATGTTCGTAAGTGCGAGATGTTCATGCGTCGGAGATGTTCGTAACTGAGGGACATTCGTAAGTGCGGGACATCAGTAAGTGTGGGACATTCGTAACTGTGTGATGTTCTTAAGTGCGGGAAGATCTAAAGTGCGAGATGTTCGTAAGTCGGAGACGTTCATGAGTGGGGGATGTTTTTTAAGTGCGAATACTTTGTAAGTACAAGACCTTCATAAGTGCGAGACGTTCATGAGCGTGAGATGTTCGTAAGTGGGAGATGTTTGTAACTGCGGGACATTCGTAAGTGCGGGATATTTCGTGAGTGCGGAACATTCCTAAGTGTGAGGCGTTCGTGTGTGGTAGATTTTCGTAAATGCGAGACATTCATAATTGCACAATGTTCGTAAGTGAGAGACGTTCATAAATGGGAGAAGTTTGTAGCTGCGAACGTTCAAAAGTGCGAGTCGTTCGTAAGTGAGACATTCATAAGTGAGGAGTGTTAGTAAGTGTGAGACGTTCGTAAATGTGCGACGTTCCTAATTGTGAGATGTTTGTAAGTGTGAGATGTTCGTAAGTGGGAGAAGGTTGTAATTGCAGGACGTTCGTAAGTGGGAGATATTCATAAGTGAGACATGTTCGTAAGTGAGAGATGTTCGTGAGTGGGAGACGTTCTTAAGTTGGAAACATTCGTGATTGCATAATGTTCGTAAATGCGAGATATTCATAAGTGGGGGATGTTCGTAAGTGCGAGACATTTGTAAGTGCGAGATGTTCGTAAGAGGTGAAATGTTCATGAGTGGGGGATGTTTCTACGTGTGAATCCTTCGTACTTGCTAGACCTTCGTAAGTGTTAGACGTTTATGAGTGGGAGACGTTCATAAGTGGGAGATGTTCGTGAGTGGGAGACGTTCATAAGTGGGAGATGTTCGTAACTGTGGGACATATGTAAGTGCGTGATGTTCGTAAGTGCGAGATGTTCGTGAGTGGGAGAAGTTTGCAAGTCTAGGACGTTCGTAATTGTGAGATGTTCGTAAGTTCTAGATGTTCGTAAGTGGGAGATGTTCTTAATTCAGAGACATTCCTAAGTGTGTGATGTTCGTAAGTGCGAGGCACTCGTAAGTACGAGACGTTCGTAAACGCGAGACGTTACTAAGTGTGAGACATTCATAATTGCACAATGTTCGTAAGTGTGTGACGTTCACAAGCGCGAGATGTTCGTAAGTCTGAGATGTTCATAAGTGGGGGATGTTCATAAGTGGGGGATGTGTTTTAAGTGCAAAACCTTCGTAAGTGTGATACGTTCACGAGCGTAAGATGTTCGTAAGTGGGAGATGTTTGTAACTGCGGGACGTTCGTGAGTGCGGAACATTCCTAAGTGTGTGATTTTCGTAGCGTGTGAGGTGTTCGTAAATGCGAGACATTCATATTCTTAGGTTTTTTCGGTAAAGTCACGTAGGTAAAATTTTTTAATTAATAATACAGCAATTAATAATTCAGCAATCGTGGAGTGACGGTTACACCTGAAGACGGAAGCTTGTGTTGCCTCCGAAACGTCGTGATTTTTTTTATTTTTTTTATTTTACTTTTATTAATTTTAATTTTAATTTTTTATCTACGTGACTTTACCGAAAAAACCTAAGAATATGAATCCTTGCAGTCACGAAAGCTTCAAATCTAGAATTAAGAGACATTCATAATTAAACAATGTTCGTAAGTGGGAGACGTTTGTAATTGGGAGATGTTTGTAGCTGCGAACGTTCAAAAGTGCGAGTCGTTCGTAAGTGAGAGACATTCATAAGTGGGGAGTGTTAGTAAGTGGGAGACATTCGTAAGTGGGAAACATTCGTAAGTGGGAGACATTCGTAAGTGGGGAGTGTTAGTAAGTGGGAGACATTCGTAAGTGTGAGATTTTCCAAATTGCGAGATGTTCATGAGCGTAAGATGTTCGTAAGTGGGAGATGTTCGTAACTGTGGGAAGTTTGTAAGTGCGGAACATTCCTAAGTGTGTGATGTTCGTGAGTGCGAGACGTTCGTAAATGTGCAACGTTCCTAATTGTGAGATGTTTGTAAGTGTGAGGCATTCGTAAATGTGAGATGTTCATAAGTGGGAGATGTTTATAAGTGTGAGATGTTCGTAAGTGCAGGTGCGCTTGTCGTACCGCAGACCTTCGACCCTGAGTCTCATCCCCTCACCTGCCCGGGCGGACACTGGAAGTAAAACCTTTGTCGGTAGACGTTCGTCCAGTGGGACTGGTGACCTCCTCCACCACCTCCGTAGGGGTCGTAGGGGTTGTAGGAACCACCACCACCGCCACCACCACCGTGGTCACCGTCACGGTCGTCATAGGCGTCGTAGTCCTCATCGTAGGGGTAACCCAGGGCTGGCTGAGGTCCGAACGCCACCACCACCGCCACCATCATCACCACCATTGCCAGGAGCGATGTGGGCATGGCTGGTCGGGCGCGCGAGGGTGGAGAGTGTGGAGGAAAGGTGGACCGAGTGGTGCCCATCGCTGTGGTTGGAGGAGATGGGGGTTGGGGATTGGTGGAGGAGGATGGGGCAGGGTATAGGTGGTTAGCATCATCACCATTATCATTGTTAACATCATTATCACCACTATCATCATTCCCATCATTATCAACATCATCGTTGCCATCAACAACAACAACCGCCATTCGCCACAAAGTGGCGGTGACGTCACCACGACACTTGTGTACGTTGAGGCCACGTGAAGTGTCGAACGGCCACTGGCATGAGGTCATGGGGCAGGCCCAGCAGGTGCCACGGGTCGACTGACTGAGATGACCGAGATGAGTGGCTGCTGCACCACCTGTGCCCCTACTGTGCCAACTTGCTGTGCTTTAGCCACCCGGCGCTCCGCTCATTGTTGTAAGCGTCGCTCCTCCACCCTCCGTTGTTATTGGAGGGTGACTGCCTCCAACTGCCCAGTAGCGTCCTTCACGAGCCTCCTCCACAAAGGCCGATCTTGACACCGCTGGTACCAGTCATTGGAAAGTCCACTCAGCTCCACATCCTCCTGTACCACATCACTCCATCTCTTCTCTAGCCCGTGCCGCGCCCATTTAGCCTCCTCGATCCGGCTGAACAAAAGCTATTTAGGCATGCGCTGACTAGGCATGCGGGCTACATGGCCCAGCCAACGCAGCCTTGCCTGCTGGAGGAGCTCACCAATGGGACTTTGCCCACATCTTTCAAGGATTTGTGAGCTCCTCACACAATCCAGTCTGGTTAAACCCAGGATAGACCATAGGCAGGCCAGTCTAAATGTTTCTCACCGGCAAAGATGTTCCACAAAGGGGGTCCACATTTCGCAAGCGTAGGGAAGGGAGGGAATTACTGTGGCCGAGAAGACCTAAAGCTTCATGCAGAGTGACAGACCAGGTAGCTTCTACATAGCATTACGCAACCGATGAAAAGATAATGCCGCTCGACTGATTAAGAGTGAGACCTCTGCTGTTAAACCGGAGCTGGTCATAAGCACACTGCCCAGATATGGGGAACTCTCCACTTTCTCCACAACTGCCCCATCACCAATTGGGAGTTATGGGGGTGGAGTGTCCGATGGTACAAAATACCCTAGCAGGTGCTTAGTTTTGGTGGGGCTGATGGTAAGGCCCCACCTCTTAGTGGTAAGCTCCAAATCCCCTCTGAGTGAGCAACGATTACCAGATCATTGGCATACATAACATCGTTGAGCAATAGGGAGCCATCCATTGACCGCACCCGGGCATTGATCAGCCTCCCACTGTATCTGTACCAGATGGAAATTCCTCCGGTGCAGCTATTGAAGACCTCACGAACTACGTGGTCATAATAGATGTTAAATAATGTGGGAGCCAGAAGACATCCCTGTCGCACCCCAAGGTGTACAGCAAATGGCTCCGACTTCCGGCCACGTAGTTTTACCTGGGCCCACTCACCATCATGATCATGAAGGTCCTTAATGATCATGAGCAGAGGGTCAGGGACTCCGAAAGCACGAAGAACAACCCAGAGCCCAGGCCTTCTGATGGTATCATAGGCCTTGACCAGGTCAATAAAGCAGAGATGTAGGTCTTGTTGGAATTCCCTACACCTCTGCTGTAGCAGATGGACAGAAAATATGCATCCGTGAAGGACCGCCCTTTCCTGAAACGTGCCTAGCAAGGCGATGTTGAATAATCTTTTCCCGGCATACTGAGGAGTGAGATGAAACTGTAGTTGTTACAGTCTGTGCGGTCCCCCTTCTTAAAGAGGGGGACCTCCAGGGCATCCTTCCATTCCTGCGGAACCCGTCCAGTGGTCCAGACTGTTGTTATGATGTCATGGAGGGCAGTCTGTGCACAAACGCCACCCTCCCTCAGCATTTCGCTTGGGAGATCATCTCGGCTCGGTGTCTTTTCTGGTCTCAGACTCTGGATCACCTGCAGTACTGCCTCAACAGATGGCACCTCAGCCAGCCACTCGCAGGGAGTGACTTCTTCCAATATTTGAGGCACCGTAGCTTCGGCAGGGTTATCCCCACTTTGTGCCATGATGTTTTCCTGGCTGAGGGATGTCCCATCCCCCAGGACCTCACAGAAATGCTCAGCAATCTGCAAACCTGTTCCTGGGGGTCGGAGATTGGATCACCGTTCCGTCCCCTAATGATGGTAATAGGTGTGGTGCTTCAGGTTACTTTTTTGATGGAATTAAAGAGCGATTTGTGATCGCGGGCCACTGAGGCAGACTCCATTTCCTCAGCAACCCGCGACCACTACCCATCCTTGCAGCGCCTCACGGCTCTCCGAACCTTCGAGCGAAGGCTGCGGTAAGCCTCCTCATTCTCCGATGTGGGATGCTGTAGCCGATGAAAGTGGGTCTGTCACTTTTTCTCAGCTAGCTTGAACACCTCCTCTGTCAGCCAGGGTCTCTGGGGAGGTCTGAACCGTGTTCCCAAAGCAGCCATTGCAGCTGCATGAGCACAAAGTCCTGAACATCACCCATTTACCCTCGGCATCAGAAGGACAGGAAGGGTGGACAATGCCAACTCCAGCTGCAAGCGATGATTAAATTCTTGTTCGCAATGTTCACCAGCGAGCCCGGACCAGTCCATTGTGTGGTCTCGAGATGGACACCCGCCACCGCAGTGGGAGAATAAACCTCGCCCATTTACCCTCGACATCAGCAGGAGTGGGGGACGATGCCAACCCCAGCCGCAAGCAATGACCAAATTATTGCTTGCAACTTTCAACAGCTAGCTGAGACCATGCCACTAAGGTTTTGAATGGGGTCCTGGGTGTACACCCACCAACGGGGTGGAAGAATGGCAGGCGCATCTTACAGATGACAAGTCGATGGTCATTGGGCAGATCAGCTGCACGGTAGGTCCTGGTGTCAAGGACATGGGCTCGCATCCGCTGTTCCGTCACGATGTAGTCCAGCAGATGTTCTTGCTTGGACCCGGCATGCATCCATGATGTTGTGTGGATGCGCCGATGCCGGAACTGCGTGTTGGTAATTACAAGCCCATGGGCTGCGCAAAAATCTCGTAGCCTCCTGCCGTTGTTATTGAGCTGATCTGGCCGATGCCTTCCAATCACTCCAGACCAGGTGCCAGCATCATGACCAACTCGGGCATTGAAGTCACCCAACAAGATGACTCTGTCCTGAGGGACCACTTTAGCTAGCATCTGTGATAGGTCATAGAAGGCATCTGGCTCATAGGCCTTGCCTGCATCTCACCACGGATGTTCGTCTTCAGTGGGGGCATAGTTAACCACGACCACCACTCCTCGCCTCTGGTTCATAGGAAAGCGAGCCCAAAGTAGCATGGGGCTTACAGCTTCCCACACCTCACCGCCACGCTCCCACGTCCCCTTCATTCTTTTGTTCAGAAGAAAAACCACTCCCTGTTGTTTGGCAGTCTCCTGCCCCGAGAAGAGGACTGTCCACCCCTCATAGTGGCAGGAGCCACAGCCGGTCCACTGGACCTCCTGAATACCACAGAGATCCAGGCGGTACCGGTCCAGCTCCCGACAGAGGAGTGGCAGCCTTTCCTCCGCAGTGAGAGTTCGAACATTCCACGTGGCCACACGTAGTGGTTTGTTGCTCTCTCTGGAGGAGCCCCGAAAGTAAGGACTCCTGGCTTCGCCGAATGGGGTTTGGCCAGGAGACGTCGTAGACGTCTGTCTCCCCAGGGCCTTCGGCGCAAGCTTATTAGTTAAATGTAGTCGTCGTGGTTTAACGGTAAGTTAATTGAGGGTGGAGGGGTTACCAGCCCCTCGCACCCGTTCAGAGCCCCCATTTAGCCGCTGTGGTAGTCACAAGCGCCATGAGGAGAAAGGCTAGTCTGAATTGGCCCTCCCCCCACAGCACTGACCACGACAGCGTTGCCCGTCCGGCACCACGAGGAGGTAGTGGGTTGTTTTGCCATCACTACCATCATCACCACCACCACCCTTATTTTCATCATCATCGTTGCTATTATCATTATCACCACTACCATTAATACCGTCATCATCACCATTATTACAAACATCACCACCATCCCCACCACCATCCCCACTCCCCACAAGTTTTTTTTGGGTTGGATAATTTAACCAATGAATAATATTGGTTGCAAAAGCCGACGTGTTAAACATCCCCACTACCATCACCACCATCACCACCACCGTCACTACCATCACCAACACTACTATCAGCACCATCATCAGCATCACCATCAGCACCATTATCACCACCATCACCACCACCACTATCACCACCACCATCACCACCATCATTAATCACCATCATCATCACCACCATTATCACCACCATCACCACCACCATCACCACCACCATCACCACCATCATCACCACCACCACCACCATCACCACCACCACCATCATTAATCACCATCATCATCACCACCATTATCACCATCACCACCATCATCACCACCACCATCACCACCATCATCATCACCACCACCACCACCATCACCACCACCACCATCATTAATCACCATCATCATCACCACCATTATCACCATCACCACCATCATCACCACCACCACCACCATCACCACCACCACCATGACCACCACCACGACCATCACCATCACCACCACCATTACCATCACCACCATCACCACCACCACCGTCACCACCATCACCTTAGGAGCGGCTCTCCGAGAGTCTGGCGAAGAGAAGTGAGACGTGGAGTGGAGGTTCATGAATATTCATAAACTTACACAGACATACACCGACACAAACACACACACACTGACACACACAAACTCACACTGACACACACACTCACACACAGACACTCACACACACTCACACAAACACACACTCACACTAACACACACACTCACACAAACACTCACACACTCACAGACACTTTCACTCGCACACACAGACACTCACACGCACAGGATATATTCGTACAAACACTCACACACACACATCTACATACACACACATCTACATACACACACACGGACACACTCATCCATAACACACACATACACAACACACATTTACATACACGGACAAAAGACAAAGATCCCCGTATAGCCTTCACAGACTGTTGGGACAAGTCCTGTTAGCGAGCACCTATGAAGGCCATGACGGAACACGAGGGGGTGGGTGGCCAGCGCCACGCTCGGCCGCCTTTGTCTTCCCTCAGTGCGACGTTTTACACACCACCCAGGCACCCGTGTCAGGCTGTCTCTACCTTCGGAAGGCCCAGGACCGGCTCAGGTAATCGATATCACTGCTGTCGATGGTGGTGGGTGGGCTCGTAGCCATTGGCGGTTACGTCACCACGTGCCAGGCTAGGTGCACTTGGATTAACTGCTGTGCCAGGCTAGGTGCAGGAGGAGGTCACGGGACAGACCCAGCAGCTGCCATGAGTTGACTGCTGTGCCAGGCTGGGTGCAGGAGGAGGTCACGGGACAGACCCAGGTGCTATGGGTTGCCTGCTGTGCCAGGCTGGGTGCAGGAGGAGGTCACGGGACAGACCCAGCAGGGCCTCCCCTAGGTCGACTCAGCCATGCATTGGTATTTGGTGCGGTGCGTAAATATCGCCACTGAGAAGACAAAGGCGGTCGGGCGTGGTGCTGGCCACCCACCCCCTCGTGTACCGTGCCCGGCCTTCGTAGGTATTCGCTAACAGCACTTGTCCCAACAGTCTGCGAAGGCTACACGGGGGATCTTTGTGTGTATGTGTGTATGGAGGAGGCTCGTGAAGGATGCTTACCGGACAGTGCCAGGCTAGGTGCACTTTGAGGCTGCTGGGCAGCTGGAGGCAGTCGCCCTCCGGCAACAGCGGAGGGCAGAGGAGCGACACTCACAACAACGAGCGGAGCGCCGGACGGATAAAGCGCAACGAGTTGCCACAGGTGGTGGTGCATCAGCCGGTCGTCTCAGTTAGTCAACTCATGGCACCTGCTGGGTCTGTCCCGTGACCTCCTCCTGCACCTAGCCTGGCACAGCAGGCAACCCATAGCACCTGCTGGATCTGTCCCGTGACCTCCTCCTGCACCCAGCCTGGCACAGCAGGCAACCCACAGCACCACGCCCGACCGCCTTTGTCTTCTCAGTGGCGATGTTTACGCACCGCACCAAATACCAATGCATGGCTGAGTCGACCTAGGGGAGGCCCACAACCAGATCAGATAATGGTCACCGGTGGTGGCCGTGAGCAGGAATCGAACCCGGAGTGAAAATCTTCATGGCGCAGCGTAGCGCTACCCACGACACTACTCTACCACCATCACCACCATCACCACCATCACCACCATCATCACCATCACTCTACCACCATCACCACCATCACCACCATCACCATCACTCTACCACCATCACCACCATCACCACCATCACCACCACCATCACTCTACCACCATCACCACCATCACCACGACACTACCGCTCCCCACACCATCACTCTACCACCATCACCACCATCACCACCACCATCACCACCATCACCACCACCATCACCACCACCATCACCACCATCACCACCATCATCACCACCATCACCATCACTACCACCATCACCATCACTCTACCACCATCACCACCATCACCACCACCATCAACATCACTACCATCACCACCACCATCACTACCATCAACATCACCACCATCACCACCATCATCACCACCATCACCATCACCACCACCATCACTCTACCACCATCACCACCATCACCACCATCACCACCACCATCACTCTACCACCATCACCACCATCACCATCACTCTACCACCATCACCACCATCACCACGACACTACCGCTCCCCACGCCATCACTCTACCACCATCACCACCATCACCACCATCACCACCACCATCACTACCATCAACATCACCACCATCACCACCACTATCACCACCATCAATATGATCATCATCACCATCACCACCATCACCACTACCATCAACATCACCACCATCACCAACATCACCACCACCATCAACATGATCATCATCACCATCACCACCATCACCACTACCTTCAGCATCACTACCATCACCACCATCATCACTACCATCAACATCACCACCACCAGTATCACCACCATCACCACCACTATCACCACCATCAATATGATCATCATCACCATCACCACCATCACTACCACTATCACCACCATCAACATGATCATCACCACCATCACCACCGTCACCACTACCATCAACATCACCACCATCACCACCAATATCACCACCATCAATATGATCATCACCACCATCACCACCATCACCACTACCTTCAGCATCACTACCATCACCACCATCATCACTACCATCACCATCACTCTACCACCATCACCACCATCACCACTACCATCAACATCACTACCATCACCATCACTACCATCAACATCACCACCATCACCACCATCATCACCACCATCACCATCACCACCACCATCACCATCACTCTACCACCATCACCACCATCACCACCATCACCACCACCATCACTCTACCACCATCACCACCATCACCATCACTCTACCACCATCACCACCATCACCACGACACTACCGCTCCCCACGCCATCACTCTACCACCATCACCACCATCACCACCATCACCACCACCATCACTACCATCAACATCACTACCATCACCACCACCATCACTACCATCAACATCACCACCATCACCACCATCATCACCACCATCACCATCACCACCACCATCACTCTACCACCATCACCACCATCACCACCATCACCACCACCATCACTCTACCACCATCACCACCATCACCATCACTCTACCACCATCACCACCATCACCACGCCATCACTCTACCACCATCACCACCATCACCACCATCACCACCACCATCACTACCATCAACATCACCACCATCACCACCACTATCACCACCATCAATATGATCATCATCACCATCACCACCATCACCACTACCATCAACATCACCACCATCACCAACATCACCACCACCATCAACATGATCATCATCACCATCACCACCATCACCACTACCTTCAGCATCACTACCATCACCACCATCATCACTACCATCAACATCACCACCACCAGTATCACCACCATCACCACCACTATCACCACCATCAATATGATCATCATCACCATCACCACCATCACTACCACTATCACCACCATCAACATGATCATCACCACCATCACCACCGTCACCACTACCATCAACATCACCACTATCACCACCAATATCACCACCATCAATATGATCATCACCACCATCACCACCATCACCACTACCTTCAGCATCACTACCATCACCACCATCATCACTACCATCACCATCACTCTACCACCATCACCACCATCACCACTACCATCAACATCACTACCATCACCACCACCATCACTACCATCAACATCACCACCATCACCACCATCATCACCACCATCACCATCACCACCACCATCACCATCACTCTACCACCATCACCACCATCACCACCATCACCACCACCATCACTCTACCACCATCACCACCATCACTCTACCACCATCACCACCATCACCACGACACTACCGCTCCCCACGCCATCACTCTACCACCATCACCACCATCACCACCATCACCACCACCATCACTACCATCAACATCACCACCATCACCACCACAATCACCACCATCAATATGATCATCATCACCATCACCACCATCACCACTACCATCAACATCACCACCATCACCAACATCACCACCACCATCAACATGATCATCACCACCATCACCACCATCACCACTACCATCAACATCACCACCATCACCACCAATATCACCACCATCAATATGATCATCACCACCATCACCACCATCAGAATCACCACTACCATCAACATCACTACCATCACCAACATCACCACCACCATCAACATGATCATCACCACCATCACCACCATCACCACTACCCTCAACATCACCACCATCACCACCAATATCACCACCATCAATATGATCATCACCACCATCACCACCATCACCACTACCTTCAGCATCACTACCATCATCACCATCACCACTACCATCAACATCACCACCACCACTATCACCACCATCACCACCACTATCACCACCATCAATACGATCACCATCACCACCATCATCACTACCATCAACATCACCACCACCACTATCACCACCATCACCACCACTATCACCACCATCAATATGATCATCACTACCATCACCACCATCAGAATCACCACTACCATCAACATCACTACCATCGCCACCACCATCACCACCACTATCACCACCATCACTACTACCATGATCATCACCACCATCACCACCATCACCACTACCATCAACATCACCACCATCACCACCAATATCACCACCATCAATATGATCATCACCACCATCACCACCATCACCACTACCTTCAGCATCACTACCATCACCACCATCATCACTACCATCAACATCACCACCACCAGTATCATCCACCATCACCACCACTATCACCACCATCAATATGATCATCATCACCATCACCACCATCACTACCACTATCACCACCATCAACATGATCATCACCACCATCACCACCATCACCACTACCATCAACATCACCACCATCACCACCAATATCACCACCATCAATATGATCATCACCACCATCACCACCATCACCACTACCTTCAGCATCACTACCATCACCACCATCATCACTACCATCAACATCACCACCACCAGTATCACCACCATCACCACCACTATCACCACCATCAATATGATCATCATCACCATCACCACCATCACTACCACTATCACCACCATCAACATGATCATCACCACCATCACCACCATCACCACTACCATCAACATCACCACCATCACCACCAATATCACCACCATCAATATGAT